AGAGAGAGAGCTCAGTACATGTTAAACAGAAGAAAATCAGACCGTAGAGTGGAAGGAATACAGGTAAAATTGACAAAAAGAAACAAAGAAACAGTATGTCAGAAAGGCTTACCCATAAAGGCAATGCCATTTTTCAAGAGAAGTTCCGGGAGCTTGGGATTTTCAGAAGCATGACCCCAGCCAGCCCATACTGCCTACAAGAGAACACAATGATTCATTCTTAAAATTAATATAAAAACTCCACAAATTGCATTACTCTCCATCAAGCCTGGCCCTACTTCATGAGGTATAATAGTTTCACAGCAGCCTAATGCTTAATTTAGCTGCTATATTTGATTGTTGGCAAACTTTACAGAACTAAAAGAAGTCCATTGTGGTAAAATCTCTGAAGAGATCAAAACCAAGTAAAAATTGATAGTAAGATCCAGTTAGTCTTGTTGCTTGCTCTTTAGGAAATTCGATTTGTAGCACTTCAACTAGGCTCTTTAGAGCCTTTCCTAGAAATATTGGCTATCTTTCACATATTCAATTACTTTGGCCACAAAATTTCATCTTTATATCTAGTGGTTATATTACCATACCAGTTTAGAATTTTGTCCTCTTTGCACTTTAAGGTACTTACCCTAAACTTCCTAACACAATGAGATAGGGAAAAAACAACCTATTTCTCTAATACGCTACCATATCCTAGTTAACTTTTACTTACTTGAGATGGTTCAAAGATGAAATGCATAGAATACATAATCTCTGAAAGACCCTTCTAAACTTGTTTGTATTATGTTTATTTCTACTCATTCCATTCTATCTTTCTTTTCCTTGTCTGGTTTAGTTATCCCATATAAGGGCATTTAAGAATTTTCAAAAAAGATGCTTTATATAAATGTTCTTCTTTGGGTATCCCCTTATGCCTAACTGTAAAATGTGTGAATTTGGTATTAAAGGACACATTGAAGCTGGGCATGGTGGCTCACACCTGTAATCCTAATACTGTGGCAGGCTGAGGCAGGAGGATTGCTTGAGGCCAGGAGTTCGAGACCAGCCTGAGCAACATAGTGAGATTCCATCTCTAAAAAAATTATTTAAAAAAATTGGCCAGGCATGATGGTGCGCACCTGTAGTCTCAACTACTCGGGAGGCTGAGAAAGGAGGATCAATTGAGCCCAGGAGTGTGAGGTTGCAGTGAGCTATAACGACACCACTGAACTCTAGCCCAGGCAACAGAGTAAGAAAGTATCAAGTAAATAAATAAACACACACACACACACACACACACACACACACACACACACTGGCACATCTTACTTGTACCGGGATCCTTTTAGCAATATCAAGAATTAATTCCACATTTGCATAGTTGTTGTTGTTTGGTCCTCCAGGAACTGGCACATAGTGATCTGCCATCTTAATGTATTCTGAAAACACAAGCAAATTAATAGAGAACACATGACTTTTTTCCAGAAATTTAATTGCACAGAGAAACTAGGTAAAAGACAGGGACTATCAAAAGTAACCACAGGGGCCGGGTGGAGTGGCTCACACCTGTAATCCTAACACACTAGGAGGCCGAGGC